GAGAATGAATCGTTATTGTTGTTGTACAGGAGTACATCAGTAAGTTGTACAGAAGAGCTTTTCGAGCAATCGGCTATCTATCAAATCTTTCAAATAAGTTCGCCTCGGCCACAAAGTTCACAAAATCAGAAGAATCTCGCAGCAAGGCCGTGAAACAATAATTTCTGTCAAGAGTGATCAAACAAAAATACTTCAGAAAAAGACACAGAAGAGAGAATATTCCTCAAAAATGTATTTCCCTGCAATTCATGTGACTTTCTGTACCGGTACTGAATTCCTGTCATTTTATTGTAACGTACAGCGTCTGCTGTGGTTCTCACATACTCTACCTTTCACTCACTCTGCCGTCTCTAGAGCGTCACCTCTTACAAAACGTGTGCTCACTGTTCATCCTTATTTGCCCTATTGATGAAGTAAACTACGAAAAGAGGATCGGTGGTGCAGGGATGAGGAAAAAACCGAGAAACGGCTTAAAACCTTAGAAATAGGGCATATTTCGGCTCAAAGATTGAGCGTGCCTCATCAGTCCCGATCTTATTAATGCTAACGCTCTCTATGATAAAGCTGCTGGGGCAGCGGCGACTTCTTTACCTTTATCCATGTAGATTATGATTTCACCAAGCTCATTCATTATTTTAAAAGTGAAACTATTCCAGTTATGGTCTATCGACGGGCAAACCTTCTGAAAAGAACATTTATTCCGATATTCGAGCAGTGTATGAGTTCGTTCTCGAAAAACGCAGTAATAAAAAGGTAGCGTCCCAATCAGAGATTTTTAGTTCTTTGCAGGTTGATGTTTGACAAAGCTTGACGTCTAAAGGAACCTAGACACTTACACGTAAAAACATCGAATGAGTTACGGTTCGTTGTTGAAATGCAACTGTCATTCCATGATGGATGTGATCGTATAGAAGGCACCACCCAAAACCAGCTTCATTGAAGAGGTTCCTCCAGTGGTTGAGGTGCCATGTCCACACTTGACGAGGTCAGGCCAATTTGGCGCTTCGAGCCTCCTCGCTAAGACGCGGGGCTTGGTACTTCAATTTTGCACATCCCATGAGTCCGGGAACGCGTATCCTGACTTATCTCAACTGCATCGTGCGCTGAATTGCTGTGCTGTTTCGCCTTTAAAAGCTTCTCCCCTTTTTGCTCTCAGTATCTCTTTTCTCGCTGTTTCTTCTTACTCTTTTCTACGCTTTTTTTCTTTAAAGAGATGTCGTGAGGTAGATCAGCCGACTCTGCAACAATTATGTTAACGTAGCATTTGCGTTCGCTTATGAACATCAAGCGGTTCATTTGAAGGAGGAATTCACGATTAGAATGAAGGTCGAAGAAAGGGAAACTGACCTAGTTGAGGGACCCACGGACCTCCTGAGGGTGCGAACTGACGCGCAATTCGCATGGAAAAATTTGACCTCGGCGACCTATCATGCCTCAAAGCTGGCGGGTCTGGCGATCTCTCGCCCACCGATCATCTGATCACTCGCCGTAGTTCAATAGTTGGCGAGTGATTGAGATAGCTGAGAGAGCATAGTATGGAAGAGGGCACAGCGATTATCTTGACGATCTTGCTCTTCGTCTTTACTAGCATCATAACAAGAAAGAATTTTGACATCATTTCCTCGTCAGCGCTTCCCCACAGATGCCTGTACGAAGAATTAGTAAGCAGTTTAGGGCACTTGTTTCCAACGATAGTATGTAAGTGTATATTAGTACTTGCTCTGCGTCCCAAGGGGATGCAAATTTCAATTCACCTGATAGACCTGCTCGCCCTCCCTTAAAGGTATCTTCTACAGCATGATTGCGTGGTCGTACTGTTCGAGTTTTTCTGATTCCTTTTCTTCTTCTCCTAAGTGCCTTTGGTCAGTTTCGATTCGCCGAGATGGCTTCGGCCGCGTGGAATGTAGAGGGATAGACTCGGCGGAACGGCTCTGAGGGGCCGCCCCAGCCTCGAGCTATGGAAAGGTTGAAAAGCTTGTTTAATTCTCCCTCAAAACTGCTCATAAAAAAGCCCTGCTACCCCACCGCCCACAAAAAAAATTCGTTTAAGAAGTACAAAAGTGAAAAAGTCAAAGAATAATCATTATTGATGAGTCCTACCAAACGACGTATAACATAATATATCGACGCCGCACATATACACCAGTGAATATGAAGCACAGAACAGAAGTATTGGAGCGCCAATATGGCAGAAATGGAATGAGCAAAAACACGATTTGAATCGGTAGCACTGGTGGACCACAGGGCAAAGACGATCGTAAGAGGTTTCTTTCCCCTCCTTTCTTTGCAAGCAACTCGTTCACTTCCGTTCAATTCCATTTCAGTTCTGTGGATCAAAATCGGCATTGCTGCTGCATTTACTCTCTATGTTCTTATGTTTTTGCCGCGAATTACTTTTGCGTTCGGATGGATTAATTTTGGCCAATTTTTTGACCGTTCTGTCGCTTTTGAGGGGCTATACATGGTCCAAAGCGTAAAAAATGCAAACTATCCTATCAAACGCCTACTTTCTCTAGCGATTCTAACGTCGTGTCTGGAACGTACGGAAAATATTCGGTTCGTCAACACGACTTTGGGTAGCGTCGGCTAAGCTGAGATTATATTTTGAATTTTGAATGTTGCCACTGCGTTCTAGACAGGACCTCAGGAACATCAGATGGGAGTGGATGTTGGCTAGAGTAAATTAGATAGTGTGCTGTTTTCGAACTTTGAGCCATGTGCTAGGCCTTCGAAAATGACGGCACGATCGAAACGTCGACCATTACAAGTTCCGCGTGTGAATGGATTCCTCTCCCACAAAGTACGCACTGCGAGATGCGGCGCAGTGGAATAATTTCATGTATTGAGAGTCACAACTTCGCGATATTCAAAGTAAATTAATCTAGTTGTAAGGAGCAAGTATGCGCCGGCAGTGGTGGTATTGGTTGAAGTCTGTGATGAAGCTGGACTGCGCATTCCTCAACCCCAGTGACCCCTTGTCAAGCCGATCGAAACAACGGCTTTTATGCAGCAAACTTTGTGAGATGATCACACGTGTCCTTCGAGCCACCTCGTCCAACTCGTGAGAATTCCATCTTCCCAGCGTGTACAATTTCTCCATGGCTCAGAGGGAACGACACATGGTGCACTGGGAGGACTGAAGGTCTACTGCAGTTTGACGGGTACTGGTACCGGTTGCCTTCAAAAAGCTCTTACTTGCGTTCAATGTCTACGGCCATTGGTTGTTCAAAACATGGCCATGTTTTGAACAACTAATGGCCGGTCTTCAGGGTTATAGTCACCCTGGCGAAGCTCCCCAGAGCGATTTCAATAGATATTCTCAATTAGCGAGTCTGGTCCTCTAGGTACACAATATCTCGACAGGCTCCTCTTGCTGAGTGCCCCAGGCGGAACTCGTAAAATAGAGAGGACGGGGCCATTATTTCTCCCAAAAGACGAGTACTGACGGTCAAATTTCGTAATATGAAAGGACACTCAGGTCGCCACATACTGCTCTGCGGGAACAACACAAACGTTTTCTGGGAAAAATGGCGTGGTCTGAAGAAATCGGCAATTACCTATGACTTAGCCTAATACAGTTCTCATTTACTAACTACCAGCTATAACTATGAATCGCTAGCTACAGGATTTACTTGGAAGGCAGCGTCACTTTTTCGTGTGTTCTTCACTCGGCGTGCTCTTTTCTGAAACAGAAGCTACATGTCCAAGTAAATTCCAAATCGCTGCAAAAACATCACTTCAACAGATCAATCGACCGCATGGTAGAAGACGTTGAGCGGATTCACTGACAACCTTCTGGAGTTGTTAAAATCTCGACAAGTTTTTAATAAGTCCCTTCTGAGACCCCCTTTGTCGCCACTTCGCAGTACTCATTTCTGATCCGTTCCATCGTCTTTACCCTACGTCAATATGAACGCTCTGTGACCAGAACGAATGGAATTGGTGATATGTGTATTTGGTCGATCAAGTACACTCTCCTTTTGTAACCTCAATAGGCTAGACTCTTAGGAGACAGTACTAGTAGTGGGAAACGAATTGTAATAATAAGTTAGATAGAAATTAAAATTATTTTAAAATAATCTAATTTCACTTGTATGGTTCAGATTGTCCTGCTTGGATATAGCCTAGGCACTGCAGCTGTTTCTGATTTGGCTGCCAGCAACCCGAAAGGCGTCGTGGGCGTCGTTCTCGTCGCTCCGTTCACTAGTGGACTTCGTCTCTACAACGGACAACCAGAAAAGGAAACAACTAGTAAGCTGGATAAATTTACCACGTGAGTGATGCCTTAACAGGTTTTGTATGCGCGGATGCGTTTACTGCAAGTCACCGAAGAGTGGGTCGGGGAGGGGAGGGGAAGGGGAGGGGGATTAACGACAAACGTAAAGTAGGGAGGTAAACATATGTGGTAAACAAATATTTATGGCACACATTGGCTAATTCACTGTAACATTTGAGAGCCCTACAAGTGCCCTAACTTTAACAAGATCGTAAAGCAACACCAAGATCGATTGAGTGGGGTAAAATGGGTGATAATGAAGCTGTGATGCCGAGTGACTGCAAATGGAAAAATAAACAAAGGAAGCCGCTGATGAAGCTCTTAAACAAGGTCCCCCCACCTTCCCTACTGAAATAAGCAGGAATACAAACAAAGCATAAGCAAAAATACAAACAAGAAATACGATAATCAAACGACGTAAGCAATTAAAACCAATCAAATAGGCGGCAGCATTCCTTTCAGCGCGAGGACAGTTTCCATGCAGTCGCGCAGCAACCATGCAATAGCGCAGGACAGGCAGCGAAATACGACTATTTCTCGGCTGCAATATTTGTGATAAACACGGTGGAGCTGGAGTGGCAGTAGTTAGAATGTAGCCAACTCCCTTATTAGCGGCTTTCCAAGATAAGTTTTCGCTTAGCGACACTTTATTTGTTTTCTACAAGAGCCCCCTCATCTTGTCATTCCATTTGTTGCCAAAATATTGACCATCCTGTGGGTGTCGCCTCAATTAGATTGGGTAAAATGAGAGGTTTTATTTTACCTCTTACTCAAAATGAACGCAAAGGAATAAAGCTCAGTGAAAGTGGTTGCTTCCAGCACGTTCTGAAGCTCGGAGAACCTTTGAATTTAACGCGCGCAGCTTTCTGAAGCAACTTCTGCTCTCGCATTCCATCCATCTCCTCACTATTTATCCTTGGTTTTCAGTTTTGCTGACCAGCTTGAAATGGTTATGAATTCCAGGATCGAAAAAGTCGCACGGATCAAGGTGCCGCTATTAGTGTGCCATGGACGTCGTGATGATGCAATCAGTGTAGAGCATGGTCTAGAAATCGAAAAACGTGCTCCACGAGCTGTGCCCTCTTTAATTTTGCCAGAGGCCAATCACTTGACAGTGTTCACTGCGAAGTGTCCGGAAACATTCAAGCGGATACGACAGTAAGAAATAGCTTTCAGTTTCAATGATGAGTAGTCCTTCAACAGCAAATTAGTTGAAGTTGGGAGTACGTTTGTCTCGTATTATAAAACACTCACCCACATTGCTGCATGGTGTTGCATGTGCGGGCCTAATTAGTGGGGGATTGCGTAGCGGAGAACGTGGACTGTGTTAGCACACAGTATCGCTAGGAATTGTCCAGAGGAATTTATTATCACTGATGCACCTTGAATTTCACGTAAGATTATCCTTCTATTTTATAAAGCGCTAACTTTGTGTGTCGGTTTGTGTATCTGTATGTGTGTGTGTGCGTGTGTGTGTATGTATGTATGTGTGTCCGTCCGCAAAATGAAGTGAGTGAGAAGGAAGCTCATGGGATAAACAAACCGCTAACAAATCGGGTAGCTTACAGGATTTGAGATATCAATGTTTTGTAGCAGGATAGTTGTGATAACACTCTTAGGGCTATATAAACACCTGCTTAGCACACTTCCGTTCATTCCACATGGTGCTGCAGTGGCAGCTGGAGGCAGTGGAGAGAGGAAGGGAGGATGAGGAAGGGAAGCGAAAAATCTACCGTCATATCATGATTGTGTCCCTTCTACTGTTTGAAACACCATTGTGTTGCATACGCGTCACTTCCACGAGGTGTTGGTGTCACAGGAGGAAGGGACCATAGCGGAGGATAGAAAGCTTGCGCAGGAAAGGAAGGTCCCGGCGGTTGACGGGGGACTAATCTGGTAATTAATAATAATGGCATCGCAATACTATCGTACAATGGCGGTCAAAAATGTCAAATTCATTGTGTCAATTGTGCGAAATAATGTACAGGAGTTAGGATAAAGCTCAAAAACTAATAGACAAAAGCTTCCTGAAATCTACAGATATGATATTTGGAAGACCCACGGACTTTGAAAGCAATAGCGCGGTTGAATTATGGAAACTCCACAATTCTACAGCGAATTGCACCAGCACTAAATTTAACAAGAGAGATCAGTGATTGTAAAAGGCAGGGATAGCCGAGTGGTTAAGAGGTTAGACTCATGTCTGCACCTCTGAAAACCGCGAGTTCGATCCCTGCCGAGGCTCTAAACCATGCCTTGCAAAAATTGCAAAAATGGTTCTAGTACCAGCGTCAGGCCCAGGTTGACAGGCCGGCTGATGAACACCCCAGTCACACAAAAATGTCTAAAGTCGAAAAGATATCAGTGATAAAGCTAGGACGTCACCCGGGAAGTGCGCGACAGAACTCGTCCACGGCCTTTCCAAGTTAGCCCAATCCTACTTTTCTCCGAATTTTGTGTTTTTTTCCAGAGTCTCTATTCGAACTAGCTTCTTTGGCCGAGGCCAGGACTCTGAACGTAGGGATCGCTAACTGGGAAGTCCCGAGAGGTTGCTGATCTGATGACGCGCAGGAACATCCAGGTGCTATGCCTTCAGGAGACGCGATGGAAAGGTGCTAAGGCCAGGGAAATCGGGGAAGGTGTCAAACTCTACTACAATGGAGAAGACACCAAGCGGAACGGTGTGGCCATAGCGGTAGCGGAGTCGCTCAAGGACTATGTCTCCGCTGTGAACAGGATCAGCGATCGGATCATGGCTGTGAGGATAGACACGAAGGAGGGGTACTGGACAATACTCTCCGTGTACGCACCGCAGAGCCGGATGCCCCGAAAGTGAGAAGGACGAGTTCTACCTGAGCCTGGACGAAGCCATAAGAACGATTCCGGAAGGCGATTACCTGACCGTAGCAGGTGATCTGAATGGCCACGTCGGCAGTGACAGGAGAGGCCGGGAAAGGGTGCACGGAGGTAGAGGGATAGGAGTGAGGAACGCCGAGGGAGAGAGGGTCCTGGACCTGGCTACGGCCCACGATCTGGCAATCTGCAGCACGTTCTTCGCGAAAAGGGAGACTCAGAAGGTGACCTACAGCAGTGGGGGACGACATACGGAAATCGACCATGTGCTCGTAAGAAGATCATCCCTGAGATCGGTAAAAGACATCAAGGTACTCCCTGGCGAGGAATTGGCTCCGCAGCACAGGCCCCTCCTGGCAGACATTGCCATGGACCTCCCGAAGAAGACAAGGGTTAGAACCGAGCGGAGAATCCGGTGGTGGAAGTTGCACCAAGCGGAGAAAGATGACCTCAAACGAAGGATAATGGAAGTTGGTCTCCCAAATCCTAACGGGCCAATACAGCGGACATTGGAGCAACACGGCTGAGACCATCCTGCGATGTGCCAAGGAGGTACTGGGCGAGACCCGAGGTGGAATCCGAGGAGACAGCAGGCGTGTGTCTCTGTGAACGTGGAAGTCCAGCGAGTCGTGAAGCAGAAGAAGGAAGCATACAAGCGCTGGCAGAAGACCCGGAGCCCCGAAGACCTCGCTACCTACAGGAGTTGCAAGAGGCTCGCTAAGGCCGCCGTAGCCAAGGCGAAGAACACGGAGATGGACGCCTTGTACGAGAAGTTGGAAAGCAGAAACGCAGAGAAGTTCGTCTTCAGACTGGCCAAAGCCCGGCATCGGGCTACCCAAGACATTAGGGTGGTGAAGAGCGTGAAGAGCAGTAACGGTGCCATCCTGAGGAAGCCAACTGAAGTCAGGAGGAGGTGGGAGGAGTACTACAAAGCGCTCCTGAACGAGGAGTTCCCCCACAAAGACAGCTCGCAAGCAGAGGCAACGTCTGGCCCCATCGCACTGTGGACAGAGGATGAGGTTAGTCGAGAAGTAGCAAAAATGAAGGTTGGGAAGGCGGTTGGTCCAGATGGGGTGCCAATTGAGGCATGGAAGGCGCTGGGTGACTACGGGATAGGATGGCTCACACGATTCCTCAACAACATAACTGCGGAAGGAAGGATGCCAGATGCCTGGAGAACAAGCACTATCGTCCCCATCTTCAAGCAGAAGGGTGACGCGATGGACTGCTCCAACTACCGCGGGATCAAGTTGACTGCGCATACCATGAAGCTGTACGAGCGCTTGGTCGACTCGAAATGCGGGAGCTGGTCCCGATCTCCCAGGAACAGTTCGGGTTCATGCCCGAAAGGTCTACAACGGATGCCATCTTCATCGCAAGGCAAGTGATGGAGAAGTATCGAGAAAAGCGCCGACCCTGCTACCTAGCCTTCCTCGACCTGGAGAAGGCGTTCGACCGGCTACCACG